CAAAAAAAAAAAAAAAAAAAAAAAAATGGTAAGTATATCAAAGCCCCTAAAATTTTCCTCGTGCACTTCTGCAATCTGTGCCTTTCACTATTCCCACCCACTTTCAGGCAACCACTGACTCGCTGTCATTATCGTTTGCTTTTCATGGAATTTTATATAAATGAAATAATACAGTGCCTGCCTTCTTTCACTCAACAAAATGATTTTGAGATGTATTCATGTTGTTTCAAGTATCAGTAGTTCATTTTTTATTGCTTAATATTCGTTCCATTTTACTCATACACCAGCTTGATAAACTATTCATCTGCTGATTGACATTTGAGTTGTTCCAGGTTCTTGGTTATTACAAATAAAGCTGCTATGAGAATTTGTGTTAAGTGTTTATGTGAACATTTACTTCCTTTTCTCTTAAGCAAATACCTAGAAGTGAAATGTTTGGGTTACATGATAGGTGTATGTTTAAGTTTTTAGAAACGGCCATCTTTCTAAAGTAGTTGTACTATTTACATTCACATCAGGAGCATATAATTCTAGTTTCTTCTCCACCTCACAAACACTTAGTATGGACAATCTTTTTTTTTTAAGTTCAGGGGTACATGTGCAGGATGTGCAGGTTTGTTACATAGGTAAAGGTGTGTCATAGGGGTTCATTGTACAGATTATTTCATCACTCAAGTATGAAGCCTAGTATACATTAGCTATTTTTTCTTATCCTCTCCCTCCACCTATCCTCCACCCTCTGGTATGCACCAATGTGCATTGTTCTCCTCTGTGTGAATATGGACAGTCTTTTTAATTGTAGTCATCATTTATTTATTTATTTAGAGACAGAGTCTGACTCTGTTGCCCAGGCTAGAGTGCAGTGATGACGATCCTGGCTCACAATCTCTGCCTACCAAGTTCAAGTGATTCTCCTGCCTCAGCCTCCCAAGTAGCTGGGATTATAGGTGCATGCCACCACACCTGGCTAATTTGTGTGTGTGTGTGTGTGTGTGTGTGTGTATGTGTCTGTGTGTGCCGAAGATTTCTTGCATTTGAAGTACTCTTTGATGACATTTTTGGCCTGAGACTCCTTGCCATGGTCCTTAACTAATACACAACTGCAACCAACCACTTTATGGGGTTTCCCATGTCAATTTTACAATTCCCCTAGTTTCTTGTTGTTCTCAACCTTAATTAGGTTGATTTGGCATTCAGCACAAAGGGCCTCCACCAACTTGGCATACATAGGCTCATCATAGTTGGATGGGCTTGGCACTTGTCTACGGTTTTGGCAGCTTTGCGAATTCCACATGCTAGACCATCGTGGATGAGGGCGGTCTTCAGCACCTCTTGTAAAGCAGTATTAATGTCCATTACACCTCCAGCAGCAATGCCTTCCTCGGCCATAGCGGTGAGTTAAGGGTGGAGCTGAATCTTGAACATACCCAAGCCTCCACCTCCGCACGACTCGGCGATGACGGGAAAAGAGCAATTTTTGTATTTTTAGTAGAGACAGGGATTTATCATGTTGGCCAAGCTGGTCTAGAGCTCCTGACCTCAAATGATCCGCCCACCTTGGCCTCTCAAAGTGCTGGGCTTATAGGCGTGAGCCACCGGGGGCGCCTGACCCTGAATTTTAGTCATTTTAGTTGGTGTGTGATATATTTCATTGTGGCTTTCATTTGTATTTCCCTATGACTAATGATGTTGAACATCTCTTCATGTGCTTATTTGCTAGTAACATATCTTCTTTGGGGAAGCCTCTATTCAGATTTTTTGCCCTTTCCTTAATGCAATAACTTGTTTTATTTTTACTGAGTTTGAATGCACACCTCTACCATTCCCAAGTTCATACATAAATGAAACGTGTCTCTCGTTAAACTCTCCATGGATGAACACATGCGAGAAACTGATAACGCTATTGTTTCCAAGAAGGAGGAACGGTGGGGAGGGGACAACAGGAAGGGAAGAAACTTATTTTACACTTTATACCCTTTTGTAACTTCAGAATTTTGTAATACATATGACATGTTCAAAAATAAACAGCCTGGGCCGGGCCCGGTGGTGCTCACCTGTAATCCCAGCACTTTGGGAGGCCAAGGCAGGTGGATCATCTGAGGTCAGGAGTTTGTGACCAGCCTGTCCAACAAGGTGAAACACCATCTCTGCTAAAAATACAAAAACTTGCTGGGCATCGTGGCATGCACCTGTAATCCCAGCTACTCAGGAGGCTGAGGCAGGAGAACCGCTTGAACCCAGGAGGCAGAGGTTTCAATGAGCCAAGATTGCACCACTGCACTCCAGCCTGGGCAACAAGAATGAAACTCTGTCTCAAAACAAAAAAACAAGAAACAAAAACAATAACAGTGTGAAGGTAAAAGCAAAAGCCTGTAGGAATGGAGATTAAATGTGAAGTCCCGTTCTCTCCCATATGTTATTATATAAAGTTTGTTTAGAGTGCCAGTGATGAAAGTTTGCATAATCACAATTTTAAATGTAACAGATTTTGAATTTATAATATCTATTGACATTTTATTTCCAAACACAGTGTCTATAAAACAGGAAAAATAAGATCTTCAGATGGCTTTTATGATGAATCTTGACATATAACATTTTGACTAGCAAAAACCACAGGTACTGTATTTCTGTGCTATGCCATAGTTACAGCACAGATAAAGCCACGGAGGCAGGTCATGCGGGGCTATGTCAGGAGTGAGCAATAAGGCTTGATGTGTTGAAAGCCTTGAAAGCTAGGAAGAGGAAGACCTCTTCCACAATAAAGATTGTGAAAGACAATGGGAAACCACTGATTGTAAATGTATTTTTGGAAGATGACTTCTGAGTGGTATGTCAAATGGGTTGGTGCAGGTACTATGGGGATGGGACTATCAGCTAGGAGAATACTGCAAATCTAAAACTAAAATAAAAAGGACTAAATATGGGTTCTGGCAGTCAAAATGAAAAGGAAGGAATAAATGTGGAAGACACTGGAGAGGAAGAAAAAGAGAAATTACCTTTACTAATTGAAAGAATAGTGGAACCAAAAAGCACAATAGAGAAGACAGAGGGTAGAGTAGGTTTTATTTTTTATTTTATTTTATTTATTTATTTTATTTTTTGAGACGGAGTTTCACTCATGTTACCCAGGCTGGAGTGCAATGGCGCGATCTCGGCTCACCGCAACCTCCACCTCCCGGGTTCAGGCAATTCTCCTGCCTCAGCCTCCTGCGTAGCTGGGACTACAGGCACGCGCCACCATGCCCAGCTAATTTTTTGTATTTTTAGTAGAGACGGGGTTTCACCATGTTGACCAGGATGGTCTCGATCTCTTGACCTCGTGATCCACCCGCCTCGGCCTCCCAAAGTGCTGGGATTACAGGCTTGAGCCACCGCGCTCGGCCCGGTAGAGTAGGTTTTAAAAGGAAAAATGATTATTTTATATAGAGAGACAGTCTGAGGTAGCAAAGAGAGAGCCAGGTGATGATAAAGTTTATTTTCCAATTTATATATTTATTAAATTCATAACTTATCTCATGATTTTGTGGCCAAGAGAATATTGGGGGTCTGGAGTGGTAGCTTATGCCTGTAATCCCAGCACTTTGGGTGATCAAGGATGGAGCATCTGAGGTCAGAAGTTTGAGACCAGCCTAGCCAACATGGTGAAACCCTGTCTCTACTAAAA